TCAATCATCAAACTTTGTTGTGCAATGCCGCCCAGCAATATATCGGTGACGTATGTGAAGCCATAGTATTTGAACAAAAAATCGTAAATATATTTTTCTACAGTTTCATTATAAGTACAGCATGGTAAATGTTCAATTACATATCGAAATTCATCCGATAATTCCATTAATGGTTCAAACATTGATAGTTTGAAAAGACAGAGCGCGCAGGAATGGAAAAAAAAGGGTATGATCTATCAAATGAAGCTAAAATCGAATTTTTTATTTCATTCGGGCTAAAGCAAACTCAACAATATGATCAAACAATACATGGCAGTTTCATGAAATATGTTAAAGAAACCTATGTTACAAAATTGGGTGGCGACATATCATTAAATACTTTTGATCAATGGGCAGAAACAGTAGCATCAAACCCAGTTGTTATTAAACTTGGTATCAAATCAATGTTGGATTTATTGAGTGAAACTCGATTTTTAAATGATGAAAATATAGTAGAAAAACGGAAATTAATTGCAAAAGCTCTGGACAGTTATCTTAAACAACCTACTTTCTGTTATAGTAACTGCTCCACTCATGGCGATTGTCAACCATCTGAATATTTTCAGTTTGGAATGTGCAACTGTCATGTGAATTGGACAGGTATTGATTGTTCGGTATTTAAACCAGTCAACTCAGATTCTTTAAGTGGTACACTCTGTGGTGTGGGTGTTCTCTATGCAGGTAAACGTCTTCTATGCGCTGGACTGGATCCTATGGAGACATGTCCTGGAAGCTGGCATAAGTTTTTGAATATGTGTGCGAAGAGTAGCATCGACAATCGTACCAATCCAGTTGGAACATGGTGCGGATATGTCCTAGGTAGCCTGGTAGTATTATGTGATGGAAAGAATCCGACAGTAGATGGTTGCCCTCCTGGTTACCAATATTTTGAAGATATACAAGCTTTTTGTGCTAAATCAGATCCAAATGCTGCTGATCTGCCTGGAACTATCTGTGGTTGGCAACGGCAAGTCCTTGAAACACCATTTATATTTAACGAACTAGATTGTGGAGGGCAGTTTCCTGGAAGAGGGGCAT